ACCAAACCGCATTTCTTGACACACATAGTTGGTGTGTATAAAGATCTGGGTAAAGCTTGCAAGCATGGTTTCAGCACTGCTGGGAAGGAAGATGGCACTGTCGAGATCGGAAATTCTCGTTCATTCTGAGCTTCAATGTTGCTAATATTGCATTCGGTTTGCGCATGATCTGATTGCCATTCGACTCAAGCAGCTGGACCACGACACTTGTGCGTTTTAATAGGACAGATTAGTTCGAGACCACGGAACATTCTGCATGGGAACTTGGATTTGAATTTATCGTTGCTGCTGACGCCCCAGCTTCGTGTGGACACCAGATCTTGGATAATTTCATCATCAAAACGTTTTTGCCTCCAAACTGGGTGCTACGACTCAATTTTCAGGAGATGACAACGACCTGAACTTAATTATTTTCCATGTATGGACGTGGGTTGAACTCATTTTTGCAACTTAGCCTTGTTGTCAAGGCGATATATATTTGGACGCACTTTGTTTAAAGTCCTCTGCTATACCAGTTATCATAATTCCAAGCCTTTGGACCGTGGTTTAGCACATTTTCAGACGTTTAGTCGGCATCGTCAGTGAGTCTTGCCATTCGCCGGCATTAGGTTGGTCAAGAAATTGACTTCGCTTGTCTCTTTGACGAGTTGTAACTTAGTGCGGAGACCGGCAAAGCTGACTGATGATGCCGACTACGATACCACCGAAACCACCGAGAATGTACCAAGCCCACGGTATAGAAGCTGGGAATTGGACTTCAGACAAACTGCGCCCAACTAAATCGCCTTGACTACAAGACCAAGTTGCAAAAACGAGGTCAACACAATCTTGGTCTTCATATCTTCATTCAATTATTTTCCGTTATTATCACATTTTTGGCAATCAAGTCACTCCAATGACGACTCAGGGCGTAAGTTTTTTCTTCCCATGCCATGGCAGACAAGCATGAAGCAGATAAATTTATTGACCGGCTGATATTACAGAGGCCAATTTTAGAGGCATGAGGGCGTCTTCATGTACAACCTGTTGTCAGGTCAGGCAAACTGCATGCGCCCAAGCGTGGAGAAGACAAGAGCATCAGCAATACCTGTAGTTTTTGGCTGCCAATCCGTAAGACCACCTTTGCCAGCGGATAAATCAGCGTTCGACTGTATATTCTCTCTTCCTAACAGTGATTGATGATGGTTGCGAACAGATGGATGGACTGGTGCACCCAACAAACCGCACAAAACAGCCCACCATGCCTCGTGTTGTTCAAGTCTTTGTACAATCAACAGAGTCCATCGATAGACTGGACCTAAGCCAAATGAGTTGGAGGATTGCAGACTCTCAGACAGACAGCATGGCAGTCCAAGAGTCACATCAGCAACCTAAAGGCTTGCCAAGGGCTGCATTCTGTATGTGATATAAGCTCTTCATTTGTAGTTGAGTCCGGGATGGGGCTCCTCCGAAGCGTATCTTTTCTTTCAACCTCGCATCCAAACGACTGGTCTGAGCAAGGGTCGACTTTAGCTTTGATTCGAGGAGTTAGTTTCGATTGTCAGGCCTATCTGCTGGCTCTCCGTGAGCTGACTTGTCCGTGAGTGCATTGGCGTAGGAGAGATAGAAAGTGTGACGACAGTCTGGAGAAATCAGCTCCCGTAGTGGTTGCCAAGACAAGTGGGCCAAGATGGATAGACTGTTCTAAGTCATCGTCACTTTTGCCACAGCTTCACTGGTCCACTGGTCCACCTCGGATTCACCCTCAGACGACCAACTTCTACAAAGGCCCCGAATCAATAGGTAGCGGCGTTTTCGCGCAACTCTACAGACTCGGTATCGGATAGGCATAGGCCGCTAATTGACTCTTCAGGCAACAAGCCAGAGCAGTGAAAATTCTAAGGAGACATGGTAAGTTGTTGTTAAAGGTCGCCAACACAGGTGCTATTCGAGTCGGGCTAATACACAAGCACATAGAAATGAAGATGTTCTATTCTAAAAATCCATCTAAACTAGACTGAGTCATGGTAGTATAAACTTCCCAGTCCTTTTGGTAACTAGCCCCGTCTTGAATGTATCTTAGTACCACTCCAAAATGCTGCGACAGCTTGACTCCACAGGCCCCGTATGTTTAGGCAATAAATACGCAGAGTAATTGGGTTTCGATAAATCTCTGGGATGACAACGTTGGGGCGAATTTAATTTCGTAAAAAAGTGTATAAAGAAGAGATTCGTGGGCCGATCCCTGTTGTACTACTACAGCATTTTTACTTTAATACCATCTTCAGGTCAACCAGGTCCACGGGTGCTCCTTCGTCCATACTCAGAGCTAGAACCCATTCTTGTAAAAGTATCACATTTACACCAGTCCGGCTCCATTTTATTTCGTATACACACTCAACTGAAAAACGAAAATAAATAGGCATATTTAGATATAAAATTGTTTGGCTAATTATCTTTCATATTGATCATACTACTTTTGCCCAAGTGTGTGTGTGTGTGTGTGTGTGTCTTAACGTCTAGAAGCAATACCGGTCCTAAACCGGAGTGATCAAAAAAGCCTAATTCTAGGCTCTGATCACGAAGGCCGCATGACCAAAGAAAAAGCCCTGACCGAGACTGTTCAAGTCCGTGAGCAAGTATGATTTAAATGATGGGATGTAAGCTTGTAAACGCGTGATGTTATGAAACCACTTGTCGTATTAACGCCGAACGGCTGCAGTAAAACACAAATCAGCCATCGTCTTATGGTGAGATCAACCTATGAATCTCTTCTTCATGCTTTTGCTTCATACGAAATAAAAAGGCTCCTCAACCGTGTTATGCAATAGAGTTCGGTATATGCAAAAATAGCATTGTATACTCCATACTTGCTTCGGCATAAAAAGTTGCTCTGTTAAAAGTGTTAAATAATCGCCGGA